TACACTACACTACACTACATTACAATACATTACATTACATTACATTACATTACATTACATTACATACTTAACTATCTGTCTATTTCTCCATCTATCTATCTATCTGTCTATCCATCCATCCATCCATCCATCTGTCTCTATATATATATATATATCTCTCTCTCTCTTCTTCCTCTTCTTCTTCTTCTTCTTCTCCGGGGTCCAGGGAGCTGTATATATATATATATATGTATATATCTCTCTCTCTCTCTCTCTGTATTTATCTGTCTATCTATCCATCTGTCTATCTACCTATCAATATATCTATCTATCTGTCTATCTGTCTATCTGTCTATCAATACTAATAGACAAATATACATATGAAAATATATATATATATATATATATACATATACACGTGTATATTTACATATTTATATACCCCTCTCCCTCACCCTTTCTGTCTTGCCAAGGGGGATGCAGGCTCAATTTTCCTATGACTCTGCGACTGCGATATCTTTCCAGAATTTGCGCCCCCTGAGCCATCAGCGTCGTTGAGGCAGATCTGTTCGTTGCTGCTGCACTGGTGGTCCTGAGGTGCGACCGCAAGACTGCTGGGTCTAATTATCCCGGTTTAGGGTTTAGGGTTTAGGGTTTAGGGTGAATCTGGGCCTGGTGCTGAAGTGACTCAACACTCCCAGATTTTTCTGGAGGCTCAACTCTACCCTAAACCCTAAACTTCTGCCCAAACCCGAACTACACAGCAGATCCCAATCCTCTTAAAGCCCCATGAAACCCAGTCAAAAGCCATCGCTTCCAGCGAAGGCCTGGGCGGGTCCTCTCCCTAGAACTTTCGCACACTTTGGGTCATACCCCTGCCCTTGTTCCAGCATGCAGCTGGCTTTTGCATGGCTTCCCTTATGCGCTGCGGCACTTCGGTCACTTCGGTCCCGTGCTGGATCTTATTTTGCAACGGGCGTCATCCTCCGCGATTGGGTCATCCGCCCGATACCATTCGCGACAGGTCGAGACCCGAGACAAACCTCAACCTCTAACTGTCCTTCTACTTGGCGGCTCGTGGGACATAGCAAGTATGTGTTGGATAGAGATAGAAGTTCCCAAAGTCCATGCCTTGAACTGCCATTTGCCCAACCTAAGTCCACAGTTCCGCCTTTGCAACCCCCAAAGGCGCCTCAACTCCCTACAAACAGACCCTTACCACCCACAACGGGCCGAGAAAACCCGAGGCCGCTTGATTGGGCTATGCACCCAAACAACAGCCCGCAATCAAGGAATATTCACCAGATCACGATGCGATCCGGTCTACGATCTACGCCCTATGTTTGAATAATGCATTAAAGAAAGGTCCCGCAATGCTTCAAGCAACGTTCCTCTGATTCAGCTACAAAAACCAAACCCGAAGACGTAAACTCAACAACACACCCTAAACCCAAAACCCCAAACCTTGAACCCTATACCCTCAACCCCTGTTTTGGGAGTCTTCCCCATCGCTCCTGGACGCCCACGCGCCAGCGCTTGAGGCCCAGAGGGCCGAGCTCGTGCGCCTCCACCGTGTCGCGGAAGAAATCCTGCCAGGGCTCTTGTCTTGTTCCCTGTTGGGGCTATTTTAAAAATGATTATTTTTAATCCTAATTGGGTTTTTATTACAACAAAGATGTAAGATTGTAGCCAACAATGACCCAGTTGTTAGGTTTTTGTTTGAGGGCTTTTTGTTTGGTGTCTGCAGCAGTGTCCGCCACCTTCTTAGGGTTCAGGGTCCAGGGGTTAAGGCTACTATTTGAAGCTTTTCGATGAAACTCATCAGGGATTTAAGAGGGGCTGGGTGATGCTTTGGGGAGTTTATAGACGGTTGGGGTTGTTCGTGAACAGGATATGCTTTTTCGGTGTTTGGGATGGACATCTTCTGGAAAAAGAACACCCGAAATCGCAAAACTCAAAAGCTCAAAAAATAACTGAACCCTTATAGAACCCTAAGTCAAGCTGTGCAAAAACCCCTACAAGGAACCCTCTAAGAACCCTCATGTTTTAGGCCCTAACTCGCCTGCGACCAGCTGCTGCCCTTGGCCAAGATCACCCCCCCATTGATCCTGATCCCAAGGCTTTATTATGGTTTAGGGTTTAGGGCTTAGGGTTTAGGGCTCAGGGTTTGGGGTTTAGGGCTTAGGGCTTAGGGTTTAGGCTTTAGGGTTTTTCCGGGTATGGGGTCCGGGGTGCAGGGGTTGAGTTTCGGGAGTGGGGTTTGGGTTGAGGGTGGTGTGGAGTTTGGAGTTGAGGGTTTAGGGTTCACGGCGTGGGGTTCATTTAGGGTCGAGGGTTTGGTTTTCAGGGTTGCAAGTCTCGAGTTCAAGGTGGAGGATTGAGGGTTCAGGGTCTGAGATGACCTGGACTAAGGGATCACGGGACCAGCAGCGTGTTTATCTACCCCACCCACACCCTCAATATACCAAAAACGAGCCACAGTTCATGAAAGTCAGCGTTAATATTAGAGTCTAAAACATATGAATCATATACTAGTCTTTAGGGGCTTAGGAGGGAGCTCTGCAGGGGGTCCGGGATCGGCAGCTACCGGCGACGGGAGTCTTTGAGAGGTGGGATCCTTACAGGGTTCAGGGTTCAGGGTGAAAGGTTTCGCGGGCCGTCTCAAACCTTACAAAACTTGAGGGCCAGGGGCATGGAGAACGAAAGCTCGGTCTTTTTGTACAGAAGGACTCAACGGCTACACACACGCAAACG